AGTGTTGACCATGCAGAGTCAGTCAGTCTGCCATGGGGCCTCGGGGATTCCTGTTTCGTCTTTTAGAAATGCTCTGGGGTCTCACTAGAGGTTGCGCCTGGTGATGGTGGTTAAGGGGCCTATCAGCTGGCCTGAAGGATGTGTTCATGTCTCCTCACCCTCACACCATCTATCCATGCTCATAAATCACTAAATCCCGACATTTTCTACAGCTCTAAGGGACTAAGGAGTGGATTTATGACAACAAAAAGTTGTCATAAATCCAGATATCTGGGTATTTGTTGAGTCTTTAAAACAGGGGTTTCAAATTTTGGTTCAGGGGTCGCCTACAACCTAATTAGATGTCAAGTGGGCCAGAACCAGTAGAATCGTAATATAATTAACTATAAATAACAATAGGTCCAACAGTATATTAGATGTTCATTGATTCACATTTAATAAATAATTTTACAAAAAAATATCCTGGACAAGTGTTTGTGCATTTTGTCATTTTTACAATTTATCAAGCGGGCTGGATTGAACACCCTAGCGGGCCGAATTTGGCCTGCGGGCCGCATGTTTGACACCCTTGCACTAGAAGCATTAGTAGAGTTTTTAAGTTGTAAAAAGAAACAACATTTTTGTTTAATTTTACCATGAAAAATGTTCAAAATAAAGTTATTTAATTGTTGGTAAATGATGCCTTATACTGGCAAGGATATTTTGTATATTTTTTTTGTATTCTTTCACATGTATATGCTATTACTGCACTACACTGTATACAGCTAACACCTTCAGGACTTCCATCTCAACGACCTCTGTTTCCTGAATTTGCAGACATCATAGTAACATCCAACGGTGAACCGGTCACATCGAAGGAAATCAAATCCTGCATCCACCAGATCCAGGAGCTGATAGTGGTCCGTCTGAACCAGGCCGTGGCCAACAAGCTGATCAGTTCTGTGGACTACCTGAGGGAGAGCTTCGTTGGAACCCTGGAGCGGTGCCTGACCAGCCTGGAGAAGTCCACCGCCGACTCTTACTCTCACAACGTCACCTCTGATCACCTGAAACAGGTGAGCGGGGAAAGAAATAATAATGTCCAAAATAATGAAATTAGACAGTAGAATATTTAGTATGACATAAATCTCACAGTGTGGGCAGAAACGTTTGATTTATTTATTTAATCAGTGAATGATTAAATTGATTCTTCCGTTTTGTTCCATCATTCGTCACAGTTGTTAAACGCGGCCTATCACGTGGAGGTCACCTTTCACTCAGGATCTTCTGTCACACGACTCGTGTGGGAGCAAATCAAACAGGTCTTTGTCTTAAACATTCATTTACCAAAAGGCTCTCTGGAGGTTGACTTGTTTTACGTTCGCTGATTCATCGTGTCTCCCTGTGTGTGTTTTTTTCTTGTAGATCATCCACAGGATAACATTTGTCAACCCTCCCGCCATCAGTCCTGAGTGGAAGCGGAAAGTTGCCCAGGATGCCATCGAAAGCCTGAGTGCCGCCAAACTGGCCCGAAGCATCTGCTCCCAGTTCAGGACTCGTCTGAACAGCTCGCACGAGGCTTTCGCAGCATCTCTACGCCAGGTTTTTTTTTTTTTTCACTCGTTCCTCTTCAACAGATGTGAAAACGGTAGTGATTGGTTGTAGAAAGCTCCATTTAAAATCACATGTTTATGACTGTTAAAAAACAATAACAGGCTAACAATGACAACTACACTTTTAACACTCTTATCACTGGTCTTATACACATTAAATATTTTTTTTATGGTCATTTGTAGAAATGTTGATTAATCTTGATTAATCTACAGCTAATCTACTGTGATTAATCACATTAAACTACAGCTCACTCGTCAGCGAAACTGGTTCTGTACAGTATGCACTAAAACGTCATCTGATCGTAAGGGAAACTTGTGAGCACCGGCTAATTAGCATTAGCGCTATTGTCTACGTCGTAACTATTTGTCATCTTGGCTTTCTAAGATGGTGTGACTCAGATTTGTTTCCAACTCTATGGAACGTTATGAATGATGAGGTTACAGTAGAGCGTGGCAGCGCGGCGTACTGACCGTTAAAAATAATGTTGATGACCTTCAGGAAAATCTCTGGAACAGTTGGTTCTACTTAAATTTCCCTGAAATCGTTGTCACATGACACGTGCATCAAACAACTGACCATAATGTCCTGCACTTACATAAAAACACTGAAACTGTGTGTGGGATTTTTTTTTCTTCAGTCCCTCATGACATAATGTCCTGTCAAACGGTTGTTGTGAACGACTAATTAATACTTTAATGCATGAAATCTGAATTATGTTGATAAATTCGTAGTTCAGCTGATTAGTTACTCTTGAGTTGCGCCTTAGGTTGTCGTCCATGTTCTTTTAATGAAGATGTTCTCGACATTAAAGAATTAATGACACAATGTAGACACATTTAATTTGAATTTATTTTGAACATAGTGGGATAAAAAAACAGTCAAGTTTTTTTTTCCATCAGAAATGATTCAAAGTCAGTCTGGTTTTTCTGACTGCACAGTACAAGGGTTAGTCGAAAAAGTTTTCAGACTGATGTTTTTAAAATTTGACACCAAAACAGGTTTAGACTCATCTCTCTGGCATCTCTGACATCATTTCATTTATCAGATTTTTCACCCCTCAAAAAATAAACGGAATAAACAACAGGTTTTTTAACTTAACTTGAGTGAAAAGCTGCTAAAATTATTACTAATTATTATCACCATGTTCAGGAAGTTTGCATCAAACAAGTAGCTTTTTGATATTTTATGATTTAAGTGCCCTTGAATTAGCGCTCAGTTTCAAAAAGTCAAGATTTTTGTCTCTGATTTCTTTGAATTTGAAGTAGAACAGATGTAACTGTTCAGTATCTGAACACAAATACATGGAAAAACACAACAAGGCCGTTCTGCTCCGTTCACAAATAGGAAATTCTTCGGGTCACATGACGGGTTGTACAGTGCATTTATCCAACGCCAGCCGTTTCCAGGTCGTGGCTCTCATCTGTTGTGTTGGTGCTTACAGCTGGAGGAAGGTCACACTGGGCGTCTGGAGCGAACCGAGGACCTGTGGCTGCGTGTGAGGAAGGACCACGCCCCTCGTTTGGCCCGTCTTTCCCTTGAAAGCCGCTCCCTGAGGGACGTGCTGCTGCACGGTGAGTCATCACCAAATCCTGCCTTTGTTAACGTTATCACGCTGACGCTGAAGCCAAAACGAGTGAAAACTCCCAGTCCTGCGGGCCGGTCTGTGTCCTGAAGAATCTGATCTTCATTCAGACACCACTGATTTTTCCAGCCTCCGTGTTCCTCTCCATGCAGTACAAATGCTTTACTGCAGTGTGTGAAGTACTGGACGGGAAAAACTAGAATATCCACGTATATTGTAAAGAAACTCTGATCTTTCTGTGCATATTTTTAGTATTTATTTATTTTATTGTTTTAGTAAAAGCACATTTTTCTTCCTTCAGGGAAACCAAAGATGGGCCGAGAGTTGGGTCGAGGACAGTATGGAGTGGTGTATCTGTGCGACAGCTGGGGGGGGCACTACCCATGTGCACTGAAGTCCGTGGTCCCCCCTGATGATAAACACTGGAACGACCTGGCACTGGAGTTTCACTACACACGGTGAGTTCATTACTGAGCATCAAGAGCCAAGAGTGTGTTTATACACAGGTGTAAATCAGAAATAATATAAGTTTGATGCAAAGCAAAAAAAACAACAATAAAGTAAAGTATTTCTTTTTCCACACGTGTGAAAAACACAGTCTGACCCACTAACACAGTGATGTGCAGCTGTTACCCATGGTGCCCATGGGTCTCGGAACATCACTGCCCCCTATCAGTGCAGCCTGGTACTTTCTGCCTCACCCTGTGCATTTTCTTTGCACATTCATGACAGACCAGAAAAACTAAAAATGTCAAACACATTCATGAAATATATTAGACAAACAGTGGAACCTGTGTGTGTGTAGTACATACTCTCTCTCTCTCTGTCTCTCTCTCTCTCTCTCTCGCGCTCTCTTTCTCTCTCTCTCCCTCCCTCCCCCCCGTTCTCTCTCTCTCTCTCTCTCGCGCTCTCTTTCTCTCTCTCTCTCTCTCTTTCACTCACTGTCTTTCTCTCTCTCTTTCTCTCACTCACTCTCTTGCTCTCTTTTTCTCACTCTCTCTCTCTTGCTCTCTCTCTCTCTCTCTCTTCACTGTTCTTCCACACTCGCTCCAGCTCCCACGGTGACTTCACCAACCAGAAGTTTACAAAAATAAAAATACGAGTATTTTTCCAAATACTGCATAGTACCATTTTAAATGCTTTGGTACCGTTGTATCGTGAACGAGCCTTGGTTCAAATCTCCGGGGCTTGTACAGTGGTGTGGCGAGACTGTGGCTCAGCGGTCCGTGGAGCTCATCTGCTCTCGCCGTGGTACGACTGACAAACGTCTTTGTCCTACTTTACTACACATCATGTGATCGTTTGCCTGTGAGCAGCTACGTTTACGTGGGTTCAGAAAGAAAATGTTTTTCTGAGGAAGAGAGGCCGTCGGTGTTTGTTACGACAGTGCGTATCCACGTAAACAGATAACGCTTCGGGGTATCATGTCGAATGCTAATGCTAATAATAGACAGACACAGAGGTCGTTCACACGTAAACAATGACTTGATAACGTGGTTGACCCACAAATGACGAGTTTCTTTTGGTTTTGTTTATTTATTTATTCATTTATTTTTAGCATAGTACCATTTTTAGCATAGCATAGCATTTAGCATAGTAGCGTGTTGATGTTACCCGTGCAGTGTCTGTGTCTTAATGAAGCGTGTCACAGTACAACAGAGACCAACATGGATGTTCTTCATGTTCTGTGTGTGGTTTCCGTGGTACCGTCTTCAGGTTCTCACGCTTTTCTCCACATCTGCTCACCACTTGTGCGTCATGTTTCTCCAGAACACTACCCAAACATGAGCGACTCGTCGATCTGCACGGATCAGTGATAGATCACACATACGGCGACGGCTCCAGCATCGCTGTGCTCCTCATCATGGAGCGTCTGCACAGAGATCTGTACACGGGCTTGAAGGTGACTCCGTGTTGCACGGGGGATTTTTTTTTTATGTTTTTTTTTTCCTCTTCTGTGTTTATTGTAACATTGTGTGGTTTCTCTTCTGTGTCAGGGTGGTTTATCCCTCAAGGACAGACTCCAGATTGCTCTGGACGTGGTGGAGGGGATTCGCTTCCTCCACGGTCAGGGTCTACTCCACAGAGACATTAAGTTGAAAAACGTTCTGGTGAGTGGGATTTTTCCCTCCACTTTCTTCCCACAGGATTAGCTGAGCTGTTCACTGCAAATAGACCAGAGGTGTGAACGTGGGTGTGAATGGGTGCTAGATGAACTGTCCAGTGGGCCACGCCCTCTTCCTTGGTTCCATCCTAATTGATTCTGTATTTGAATTATAGCTGATGTACTGTGAAACTGTAGGCACTGAACTCTGGTTCCTGGTTCAAAGTCTGTTTATAAAAATCTGTTTTTTTTTTCTGTGTTTCTTAGTTGGACAAACAGAACCGGGCCAAGATCACTGACCTTGGTTTCTGTAAACCAGAGGCCATGATGTCTGGTAGCATCGTTGGAACTCCAATCCACATGGCTCCAGAGCTATTTACAGGTACCAGCAACACAGTGACACACACATTGTTAGACCAACTTGCGGGTGTAGTATAGTAACATTAGACCAACTCCTTGAGAAATATCTGACGACAAATAATAAAAAAAATTGTTCATTATTTACTTGCTCGCAGGTGAAGAATGACGTAATGTACTAATAATTTGCTTTAAAATACTTAGCTATG